GGGGGGGGTGTTTGGAAACGGTGATGGACTGGCATCCTGTGTAGAGGAGTGTACCAGCACCCCTAGTGGCTTCATATTACTTAAAACAACCTATGGTAGAACGAGCAAGGTAATTTGGTATCATAAACTGAGTTAATAACGTTAATTGGTCACCGTAAAGAGTTTCGAAGCTGGCGCTTCGAGCCCTTCATCATTTCTTTGATAAGGACGCATCCAAACCAATCGCTAGACACTTTCAATCTTCCCAATCATTCTAAGTAGCTTATGGAAGTTTGCGTTGCGGCTTTTCCCATCATCAAGGCAGTTTGGATAGCGGCAAATCTCCAGAACAAAAATTTATCTTTCAAATTGGCCCTCTTAATCCCCTCGGTATCAACGAAGTCTTTTCATTCGACAAATTTATTTTTGTCTTTCTCGTTACCATGTTCCCACTAATAGCGTAGCTCGATTTTTTGCTTATAAATACACACAAAACCCACAATTCCTACTTTCGCTCTGACGAAGGGCTAACGCTCGAAACATCAGCCTTTTAACTCTTTACGGTGGCCAATTTACGTTATCAACTCATTCGATAAAACCAAATTACCCTGTTATACTCTCCCACCAACACAGCACCACAGTTTCTTTAGAAACTTACCCCCTTTATTCATCTTTCAGGCTGTGTGTCGTTCTGTTTACTAAACAAGGCCAAAATGACAAAGAGAAGCTTGCTCTGAGGTTGTTTGCAACAGATAAAAAATACCTCTCTGAGAGGCGGTTGAAATTTTTGTATATTTACGAAGATGTGCAGAGAGATCTAGTGGAAGAGTTCAAAGATGGGGTGAAGGCTGATAGTTGCGCAGAGAATAAAACAGCATCAAAGGTAAAAATGAACAATTGTAAACTTAACAAATAGACTCCACGTTACTAGCTGTGTTTCTGTTTAACAAATAGATTCCAAGTTGCCGAGCGTCTGTGACGTCAGTTTTTTGTTCTTACCACATTTTGACGTCATCTGTGATCTATTACTGAACAGACGCACGGCAACTTGGAATCTATTTTTTAAATAGATCACAGATGGCCAGCAAAGTGTGATAAGAAGGAAAAACGTGGTACACGTGGCACAGCTGAATGGGTCGGTGATACTTATATCAGGATCACTTTCCATAACCTATTGGAAATTACTTCAAAAGAGATACAGGGGAAGTTACTTTTTATAGTGTAAGTTGTCGATAGTTTACCACCCATAAACTCTCCCTACCCCTTCTGGGAACTTGGAGGGTGTGGGAAGAAGAGGGAGCCTTGGAGGAAACAAGGTTTCATGGCAATCCCCAGCAGGGCTCATACCCAGACCTCTGACGAAGGGCTAACGCTCGAAACGTTAGCTTTGAAAATCTTTGCGGTGACCGATTTACGTTACCAACTCAGTTAATAATACTAAATTACCCTGTTATACTCTCCCACCGACGCAGCACCACAGTTTCTTTAGAAACTTACCCCCTTTAACCATTTGTCTCTTAATTTAGAGCTAGCTACGTTTACCGTTAAATCGTGACATCTGTTATGATGTCTCTTGATGTCTCATGGACTAATGATCTTATTTTCTAAACTTAAGGTCATAGTTCTCTGGAACAAAGGTCAAAAGCAAGTCAGATACGACTGGCTTCCAGGGGGGTGGTGTGTGAATGAGTCAGAAGAGCCGCTGACCAAGGCTCGGCTGTCTGTCATGCTGGAAGATCTACTGTCTGGAGAGGGCAAGTTGCGACATACTTCAAGTATTCCACGGATCTACAATGAGCATGCGCCAGTGAGTACACTTGCACAAACATTGCTTACATGTATATACCCCAAATGTTCCAATAACCCCGACCCCCCTCCCTTTGATAATTCCTCCACCTTCCCCACCCCAAAGAAAAATTGTTGTGCTAGATAGATATTTATACATGGTAAAATCCTTCAGCACAATCTAAGAGAATAAAAAATCTAATTCTGCCTACTCTAAACTAACTAACTTATGATTATAATACTATCATATCATCAAATCCGCTTTTCTAAGATACCGTGTCTCATTCAAAAGCTACTGTGACGTATTCATTTTTAAATTCGTTTTACATAACTGGTGATCGGAGTTCGCGGCCTTTCCAAAAAATAGCAACACAGCCAGTTTATTCTCAGAGTTCATCAGTTGGTATGAAGAAATATCATTTCGAGATTGAAAATATTCAGGGGTCGATCCATATAAAATCTTGTTCATTATAACAGACGTAGCTACTACCTAGTATCTATAGGCACGTATAATTAGTCACAGGTAAAGAGACGGCAGTTTTCATCGGCTCTTCTTCTTCTTTAACGCTCTCTCTTAAATACGTTACAACGGACCACGACATCTCAGTCAAGAAAAAAGAAAATAATAACACCAACAACAGAAATGCTTATGTCCAGCAAAAGAGGAGCAGATGAAAATTGATTTCTCGCGCATGAAAGAAGGAAAAAATGGTGCTCTGGCTTCGTTTGGATTTATGACAATGAACACAGAACACAACTTTTTTGTTCTTTTTTATTCCAAGGGACTCCTGTCTTTGTTGTTCAGCTGGTGTTCAGATGCCTATTACTTCGTGAAATCGTCTTTGTATCGGTAAGTTTTGGTCAAAATTTTTACGTTTTGCGCTGATTTACACGGTGTCATCTAGGAACCAAAAATACATACGGTAGTAAGTGATGGCAATAGAACTGGGTGGAGTGTTGGAAGCTGTAAGATACGTTAATTCGTCTTAATTTGATTGACATTTATAAGCAAAACCGTTTTGCTGCGGGGGGCGAACTCGCACCGAGGTGAAACTTCCAGATATCTTTTTTGGTTAAGAATATTTAAGTCGGATTTTACGATATGCATGTTAAATAGACTTTCATGTTGTATTGAAATGTCATCTAGGGTAATTGTGTCTTCTTCGTTACGTTATTCTAGGAACGTCGTTTTATTTTCAATTTTGTATTATGTTGATCTGTTTCGTTACATTTTCTTTCAGGAGAGAAACTGTTTCCTTGTTTTCCTTGTTGTGTGGATTGGGAGTCGTTCTGGTTTTCAGTGTTTTACTTCCCAGTGCGAAGTGAGTAATGATTCATTTAGCTCTACTCTCCCTCTTTCTATCTCTGTTCTAAATTCTCTCAGGCGTCTTATAGGGGAGAATGAGCAAGCGTTGCAAGTTCGCGATCGTTCACCTGCCCACCATGTTTAATGTAAGGTTAGAGTCGACGAAGAGAGGAGGATAAGAGAAAATGCGAGGATTTGTTTTGCCCCTCTCACTCCCTGCTGTCAAGATTTAGCCCATCGCTCAACTTCCCTAGTTGAACTTTCTTCTTCTTCCAACCCTCCTCTGCTTTTAAAATTTAAGATGCCGACGAATCTGTTCACGAAGGAATGCTGAGCGCTCGCTTGCCAAAAGTACGCTAACACTACAAGTTAGACTTTTAATCCAAGTTTTTACAATTTCAATAGTGAGCCAATAAATAGGGTGTACAAAGGGTCCTCTCAGAAGAACCAGAGACCCCCAGAAAGCGAGTCAGTCTTGGGCCTCCTTCGTTTGGACCACAGCACCGAAAAGACCCTAATCAGGGATGCCCCTCGGGGCCAAATCACGTTTACTCTGCTGGTTGATGCTACCACTGCACGAGAGGTAGTAAAGCTGCCTCTAATTCAAGCGTTTGCCGATGTGATTTATCCTCACAGCGGGTATGTTTATAGCAACTAGATTTGATAGGTTTTCCATCACCTCCCTCTGTGATTGGTCAAAAAAATCTGTACTTCCCTCTAAACCAATCAGATTAAAAAATTAAACCAATCGCGGCTTGGCTGCTCGCGTTTTCCCGCGCAGGAGTTAGTGTGCTGGTCTCAAGTTTGAGTTGTTTTCATTGGCTGGTTATGATATTTCCCTTCGTTTTGATTGGTCTAGAAACTTGCGCCACCTTCTCAACAATTAGATTAAAACTGAAACCAATTGCGACTTAGTCGCCCGCGATTTCACGCGCTTGAGGAAGTTTGCTTGTTTGCAGTTTTGAGTTAAGAAATTTACCTGATTTTTTGTTTGTTTGTTTTATTTCTGTCAGAAACCCAAATTTTAGATTCACCTGGCTTTCAATAACTGACAACCTTGCGTGGTGTGCCGAGATTCTGGATGTGGACAAGTTTGGTGAAGTGACTCCTGGAATTGTTCTCGCCTTAAACGGCTACAAGAAATATTTGTCTGTCTTCAAACCGTCTGACCTGTCTGAGGGAGCCTTCTTCAAGAGGCAAGGAGGAGACTTAATGGGATTTGATGATAGTGATAGCGATACGGATGCTAACGAAGATGGAATGACGGAATACGAGAGAAAACGGCAAAAAGTTCTAAGTAGATCGATTCGAACACAGTTAGTACATTGGTTAGAGAGATTTTGCGACGGAATGGTGGACAGAAAACGAGTCGTCGAATGGCCGAGATTTACCGACTAGGGGTTCTTGTTATAGCTAGTACCTAAGAGCTTTTATGAGTAATCGCCTTAGGATTCAAAAAGTGCAGTCAGACCTTGAAAATCCACGAAAAATCGCTCGGCCACTTTTTGCTTTATGTCTACGTAATTACTAAAGAAAACTCAACCACTTGGCGTTTTCAGCCTCAGTTGTCGTGTTCTCAAACACCATCGAACTGTTACATCCTTATTCCTCGATTTTTGTTACTAAATCAGTCTACTAACTACTTTCCACGATAGAGATGTCACTTGCTTGCTCACCATTACCCTTACGCTAAGGGATGGTCTAGCAAAGAGACTGGATCCCACAGGCCCAACTCATAACGGTAGCCATCTCTCTTGATAACTTAAGATTTCGGAGATTTCCTGACGATCTCAGAAATCCTGTGGGCGAAAGTTTTGTGGAAATCTCTCTGATCCTTTTTAAACAATAAACAGTTGACAGAAATAATGTCACTCGGAAGAACAAAAATTTGAACCCAAGATATTTATTTAGAGGTTTTTAAGCCTCAAGTGAGAAGTTTTTTTTTAATAAATCAAATGTACAGAATAAATTAAGTTCAAGTACTTGTGTCTGTTATGTGCCTGTACAAGGTTTGACAACTGATTGAATGATGTAAAGGTACGAATGTACAGAAAAATAAAACTTTGGAAAAGGACGTGAAACTGGACGACATCTTGAAGTCGCAAAATTAGTGATTAGCTTCTAATTTCTCCATACGATATCACCGCTGAATCGCACGTTAAGGTCAGAAGAATAAAGGAAATGATCGCAAACTTCTAAAGCTCTTGACTGACCAAATTCTCCTTGTCAGTACCATCGAAGGTGTATAGCGAACAGTATGGAGAATTTACATACTGATGTTAGGGTGTAAATAGTTAATACCTGACTGCACTGATGTGTGGCCTGGGAAAGTTTTTCACGGCTTTGCTACTCGGGCTGAAAAGTAAACGACGACCTGCCTGGAGTTTAATTCATGTAGATATAACAACTGTTCAGATAAAACTACTGGTGCACTTTGGAATCTTTATAGGTAGCTTCCAAAGAGCAATTTTTCAATTATTCCAGAAGAGGAATGTTTTAAGACCGTTTAGCTCGAAACTCGACGCGCGGAAAATGATGACAACAGCTTGACATTTTAGTCGCAAGACAAACGATTTCAGTTTTTTAGTGAACTAGTTAAGTATCGGGGGGGGGGGAGGAGGGGGGAGGGTGTCAAAGGTATGGGGAGGGGTGAGGGAGCCCCTTAACTTTCCACCTCCTCCAGAAAAGTTCCCCGCTCCACTGGTTGTTTTTCCCCTTCTCCTCATCACCATTATTGGTGTGTTTTTATCCACTCTCTGTGATCCACACGAAGCCACGAGCGGAGAGCTCAAAATTCAATAAGTTATAACCTTCCAGCAAAACGTGCATCCATAAATTGTTCGATTTAGTTTCTTCTCGATTCTCTTTTACTTTGCGCTCTTTTCTTCTGGGTGACTTTGACGTGAAGAAACGCGGGAGTTAGCGTGACGTCGAGGAATGGTGGCGATGTTACGTCTTCAACGATTATTACATAGTCACCTGTGGAAAGGCAAAAAGAAAAACAGTCTCTTCACCGTCTTACGAAAACCTGGGGCAAGACTAGAAAAAAAGGTTAGGTAACTATTAAAAACGAAGCATTACTGGTGTTGGTCTTGATTGGTTCGTCGCGCGTAACTACGCTCTGTGATTGGTCTAAGAAAAAAAACCCACCACCATTTCAACCAATCAGATGCAAAGCTAGAACCGACCGCGACTTGGTCACCCACTTTTTCCCGCGGTTTTTTCCTCATTGGTTCTTTGAGATATTTCCTATCTTCTTATTGGTCGGTGTGTTATTGTAATCACTTTCAATTGGCTATCTTTTTTTAAAAGAATCAACTTCATTCAAAAAAGCTCTGTAGAACCGGAGACGAGGCCATTTAACTAACCAGGTTTACAAAACTTGTCATCTTTTTCCTCTTTCTTTTCCTTCTTCCTTTTCCCGTCTACTTTGTCCACCACATCAGCTAAGGCTTCTTTCTTCTTCCTTCCGTCTGAAACTGCCGACGAGGGAACACTTCGGTTGACAACTTTGAGCAAGTTCGCGTTCAGTAAAGAACTACGCTTGTCCTTTGATCTGAAATAAATGGAAGCTACGTTACGATTTTCTCCCAGAAAGTATAAAATGCTATTTCGATAAGATAGAAAAAATATCAAAATGGGAACCGTAAACCACTACGGCCAAGGAAGGAGACGATCGATTAGCAAGGATTGCGAATTAAAAACTTAAAAGTGATCTTTAAGTAGATTTCAGATTTTCACAATATCTCTATACAAGTACTACGATAGTTCTCGTGAAAAGCGCTATAAAAAAAAAAAGAAATTGCCCCACCCCTCTCCTCTCATTCCTTTTGACCGTCACTCGCCCCCTTGGTACAAATTGCTTTTTTTCCCCATCCTCCCACTGCTGTAAAAATCTAAAATGGCTGTAAGCGAGGTTAAGGAAACGCGGGAAACGCGAGTGATCAAATTATGATGGTTTTAGATTTGAATTCGCTAGGTTTTAAGTTTTTAAACTAAGCATTAGGCGCGGTAGGGAACACCAAAGCGTTTCTTAAAGATTTTCTCAAGAGGAAGTATCTAACGTACTTTGTATCTGCGAATCTTACGCCCGCTTGCATTTCAGACGGCGGGGATGCCTGTAGAGAAGCAAAACTGTTTAAGGGTTTCACCCCAGGGGGGAGGGGTGGGATGTAGAGATTTTCAAACAATGCTTTCCCTGCTGTAGTGCGCACGGGAGAAACAGGAGGAGGGAGAACTGCCACCGGAGGAACCATAAGAACACCAGGATCAGCTGAGTGTGAAAACAAACAAACAAATAAGCAAACAAACAAAATAAACACTTTCATTAGCCTTTGAGCAGGGCCTCGTTGTTATGCTGCGGCACGCGAGAAAGTTTGAGACGAGCAGGCAAGAGACCTGCGAGGGATCTGGCACCCATTATTAGTGCAAGACCCGCGCTACTTAAGGCCTTTTAAACTTTCTCGCGGGCAAAAATCACTCGCCTACACTAAACGCCTGCTCGTACTCTATATTTCAGTCATATGGCAAACTCTAACTAGGAAGATTAAGCAAATTCAGATCTGCATTCTGATTGAATACCGACATTTACCTCTATAAGAGATGAAAGCTCCTTTTTTCCTTTTATTTTTCTGCGAATTTCAGGCAAATGCAAGTACGTGCTTTGCGAGAGTCACGCACAAAGGGAAAGTCAGGCGCAAAGGGCAAGTCACGCGCAAAGGGCAAGTCACGCGCAAAGGGCAAGTAACGCGCAAATGAAAATTTCTGTGAGCAGATGAAAATTTCTTTCCTGAATTAATATTTGCGCAATACAAATCAATAAATATTTTTGCTATTATTATTATTACATTATTAAGTCATGTGCTAGAGAAGCATTATAAAGTTTTCTTGACGAGTAACACAATAGCCTGTAGAACAGGCGTAATGTTTTTCGTTTTACGGCGAACGAAGACACGCACGAGTCGCACGCAAGGGTAGGAACATGATGAAAAAAAAAGATCTTTTCCTTGCGTGTATCCCCCGCCCTTCGCACGTGTCCCTCGCTCCTCTCGCTCGCCGCGGGCTTGCCTATGTTTGTCTGAAAAAAAGAAGAAATGGACGCTTGTTCTGCAGGCTAATCACATGAAGCAAAACAGTACAACCCTGGGCTATTTTAAACACCCAATTGAAGAACCCCATACAAAAGAAATCCCCTTACATGACCCATCTCCTTGAGTAGTTGCATTCTTGTCATAGCTCGCTGGCATCATGGTGCTGGCTTGAGATGGTGCAGCTGTTCTGCTTGGCAATTCGCCATGAGCCTCAACAAATGAGCCCTCCTTATCTCCAACATCAGACATATCGGTTACCTAACAACAAGAAAACACCTTTAAAACACTTCATTAAGAAATACTTATAGGGAGCTCTCGAAGTTTCAGGAAATGTAATGCCATTTGGATCAAGATTCAGGTGTTCAGTTATTAAAACAAGGTGCAATAGTTGCAAAGTAGTGAAAAACATGAGTGAGGTCTGGGTTAGGTCGTGTAACAATTTAGAGTGTATTTACCTGTATATTTTCCATGGGTTTGGAAAGTTCCTCTGCATTTGGCGGTGATGCTTGGACAGGTCTGCTGGACATAACACTTGGGGCTTGTGAGGCAGCTCCTGGGAACACAGATTCACTTGATGCTATCTCTCCAAGCATTTCTGTTAAGGGGTATGGCTCTATTTCAAATCCACTAAAGTAAAAGAAAACAAAATATATTTAAAAAAGGTCAAAGAAATGTCTTGAAGTCAGCATGCAAGCAGGCCATCATTATCAGAACTACAGCATAAGTGTCTCTTTGCCTTTGAGAAAGTATGAGGCCTGGGCAATGCAAACCAACAAGAGGCCTACAAAGGGTTTAGCACTGATAATGAGGTGACAGACCCCCTGCCAACCTCTTCCTGACCCATCTAAAAGCTTCCTGCAGGCATCCGGCATCCTGCAAGGCTATAATTGAAGGCCTCCTCACAGACTGTATTGAACTACGCTCCATTTCCAGCCATTTTGGGGGCATGGTTTTCCACCCTCCTTCCACTAAAAAGGGTCTAAAAAAGCAGGCTCAACTCATGGCCATACATCAGAGTTTTAAAATTGAAAGAAAAGTTTTCAAAAGGGATCAGATAAAAATGTCTACAGAATTTCATTGCCAATGATTCAAATTCATCATTCATCTAATTTGTTTAACCAGTTTTAATTTCATTTTTCTCTTAAAAGATAGATATCTGTCATCATCATTTAAAACAAAGGAAAATAAAAAATCAACCTGATGTTTAAATAAACACACACACACGCTAGAAAAAAATTTGAACCACAGAAATTATATTTCATCAAGAAACATTTACCATTTAACCCCTAAAACCCTTAAAGTGACCAGCA